TAGCTCTTTAGAATAACCTTTATTCATTTATTTGAAAAATTCAAATAACAAAATTTTTGAATTTTTATTTTTCTTTTTCAAAAAAAAATTCTACGAAACTTGGTGAAAATTTATCTTTTTATGTCCCAAATACACTGTGATTTATTCGATTTAAAATATTTATTTTTTCACCCTAATTTTCAATCGAAATTTCTCGCGTCAAAACATCAGCTTTATTCAAAAAGTCGGCGTGCTTTTTGTTTTTTGAACACATTACTATAGTGAATGTTCTCAGAAAATGCAAAAAATCGAAAAAAAAAAACTCAAATTCGAATTTTTTTTTTTAATCATTATGTACAATTTTCAGCTTCTTATTGAAATTTGCATTTTAAATACTCAATAAAACGTAAGATTCCATGTTACATCGATAAATGAAAAAACTGCAAATCGAAATATACTACTATAATTTACAAACAAATAAGTCAATAAAGTTATATTTAATAAGAAATCTACAATATCTTCTCAAACCAGGTTCTGGAAATGTGAAGGATCTATTTTCCACGTCTAATAGTTTCAAACATGAATCCTTCAAAAGTATTGTTGCATTTCTGCATTGATTTGCCAGTTGCGATACAACATATATATTTGCCGAAAAAAGAAAAAAAAGTATCGTAAATTCATCATTAGACGCTAAAAACTTGTCAAATTTGGCCAATGTTTTTATAAGAAAGATGGAAGTGAAGAAGATATAAAAAATGGATTACAATCAATCAAATCTATTTATGAATGTAAAAATGAAAAATAACACTGAATCAGTTACTATTTCGAAAATATCAATTGGCAAAAATTAAATCACATTTCATTTTGGCAAACCTCCCACCCACAGAAGGAGCAGCGGAACAACATTGTGACATGGCATATTATCAGCTTCCAACTTGGTTGGGTAACGAACTGACAGCAACAGATTGGGGCTGGAAGCAACATCAACGTGGCATTATATCCAAATTTAAAGAAAAGGTATTAATTCCGAATGTACTGCTCAGAACTATTTGCTGCAGCAGTGAAACTGGATGTAACACTTTAAAATGTGGCTGTCAAAAACATGGTTTAAAATGCACAAATTTATGCTCAAATTGTCATGGTTCTGAAAATTGCTTCAATATGGAAAAAAACTTCGAGGAAGATTTTAAACAGATTTTTTCAAACAGTTACTAATTCAGATGAAATTGCGGATGAAGAACCAATGCAGACTGGAAATAATTATGGAGACGAAGGAGATGATGTTCTTGAAGATTTCGAAGATCAACTAGAATTGGAAAGGTTTGTCGAATCTAACGCTGGAAAAATGATATCAAAGACACAACAACTAATGGATAAGTGATCAAAATTCAGGATAAGGTATTTATAAATAACAAAATTAACGTTTTCAAACAATTATAATTAATAACGTAATCAGAATGAAGTATCTGAATTCAATAGTACGATTTCCATGTACATTTATATTTTATGAGAGTTTCTATGACATGAATACAATTAGAATTCAATAAATAAACTTTTTAACTGAATAAAATTGCAGCAATCATATTTTTTGATGAAATTGTATATAATTATGAAAAAAACCTTCCGATTTCGACTTTTTGCATTTTCTGAGAACATTTACTATAGTAATGTATATTTTTTTACATCATCAGAAAGTAGAGATTTCAACGAACCAAAATCACACCTTTTTGAAAATTTTTAAAATTAGGGTGCTTCTTTGATATCAAGTCAAAATAAAGTGAAAAAAATGAATATTTTGAATCAAATAAGTTACAGTGTAATTGAGACATGAAAAGGTAAGTTTTTAAGGTTATGTAAAAAATTTGTGAATACAAAAGTTGTAGATATTTTTATTGCCTACAAACCTTTTTCCGTAGGACTTGTAGTTTTGCACGAAATCGAGATAAATCATTTTTTACCTTCAAAAACTCACCCCCCTCCCACTTTCCGAACTCAGATCGCCCGTAATTCATTTTTCCTTTCATGTTCATCATATTCTCCTCCTTTTCTAATGGGTTTCATCCTACTGTTGTTTGAGGACCCTGATGGAGACACTCATCAAAAACGCTTCGTGGGATGCCGAAATAACTGGGCGTCAGCTCCCATGCGGTTTTTGATGGTTTAAAACGTATTGGAAAAGTCAAGAAGCTCGAAAAGTGGGTACCCAACGATTTAAACGATCGACAGAAATTGCCACGTTTCGAGTCCTGTTTTTCTTTGTTTTGCGCAACCAAAACGATCTTTTTTTGCATCGTATCATCACGTGTGATGAGAAAAGTAGATCCTCTACAACAGGAAACGTTCAGGCCAGTGGTAACACTGATGGACACCGATGAGCCACTCAGACACTTCCCAAAGGCGAAAACCCATCAAAAAAATACCATGATTAAAGTATGGTGGTCAGCGGCCGGTGTGATTCACTATAACTTTGTGCAACCAGGCCAAACCATCGCAGCAGACTTCGTTTGTGAGGAAATCGACGAAATGTACCTACCAAAAATTTCGTCAGCAGCAGACGGCACTGGTGAATAAAAGAGGTACGATCCTGCTCCACGACAATGCCCGTCCGCATAGTCCACAAAACGAATTGAGCGTCGAAGTTCTGCCTCACCCCCCATATTCCCCAGACCTCTCGCCAACTGACTACCATCTTTCAAGCACTTCAATAACTTTCTTACCGGTAGAAACTTCGACAATCAGGAGCAGGCAAAAACGGCCTTCGTCGACTTCATCGAATCCCGAGCAGACAATTTTTATGCTGACGGAATTAATCGACTTGTATTACGTTGGCAAAAGTGGAGTGATTCAAATGGCGCTTATATCAATTAAATTGAATGAGTATTCACCGTAATTGTGGAATTGGCCGCGATGGTAGTGCGCTCGACTCACGATCGGAAGGCCGTGGGTTCGATTCCCGCCTTGACCAGATATTTTTCTCGAGAGTATTTATCTGGTTGAAGCTGGGATGATTCTGCAACCGTGTTAGGAATCACACGTTAAAAAGTAAGACCTTGTTAGTCATTAGCTCGCACAAGTTTCTCAACTTCGGAGAGTTGTCGTTCGTATGGGGGCGACAGCTGATTAACGGAAAAACAGATTTTTAAACATAGAGAATATCACATATGAAGTGGACTCATAAAAACTGACAAAACTTTTGTAACAACCTAATATTATAGAACATTAGCAGAAATTATATAAAAAATGATGTATTTTCTGAGTATTAATACCTCACCGACTTTATTGTTCAAGATTGAAACTTAAAAAAATATTTCAATGAACACTACAATTGCAATGAATGTTTTTGTGATGTTTAGTGTAAACCACTTTTAAAAAATATCAAATCTAATGACATTGAATTGTCCAAACAGAAATTTTAAATTTTTAACCTGTGAATGCGGCATCATTCATATAATTTTTCTTCATTCTGAGAAAAAATTTTAATCTCATGAAAATCACGTGTTTCGTGAAAGTATTTTTCACGGAAAGTTATCTTATATATACTACATGCATTGTAAATGGATTTACGCATACTTATCACTAATAAGGCAGATGATATCTTGGAGAGCTTTTCAGTGGGTGCGGGTGAAAAATCATTTTTTAGATTTACTTCTATAATTCACCTCTGAGATATAAGAATTCAAAGTGACCAAAAGTTACTGAAGTTCATAAAATGCAATATAGCTTCTAATAAGATTTCACTTCTAAATGTTATTATGACTGATCTTGATTAGCTTTAGTTTTTGTGCGTACCTTCCAGTTAAGATGAGCCAACCCGAATAACCCATTTGATATTGAGACTGAAAACTTCGGTTTTTGCCAGCATTCCCCACAATACCATCCACGTAAAAAATTCAAATGAACACGCTTCTCGTGATTTCAAAGAGAATTATCCGGGCAGAAATACTTATAACAATTATGTATTGGAATTGTTACAACTAGCAATTTTAATAACAGACAAGATAACCATTCAGAACTCCTACAATATCTCCAAAAACTAACCTGTATTATAGGACTATTCATTTTCAGAAGAGAACGTGAATGGTGATGGACATTTCAAATTGCTGATTAATTAAGTTATGCCAAGCAATAACACCGCTTGTTTCCAGAAATGGAATAATTTTTAAAAAAGGATCACCCTCAGTGAGTAGTACCAGTGCGACAGTTTCACGATAACTTCACGGATCGATGTACTAGAAGAAGAGGTTTTACGGAATGACCACCCAGCTGGCCCGATTTGATACCACTAGACTTTTTTCTATAGGAATGATTGAAATCAAAACTCTAAGAGGCCCAACCAACTATTGCAGATAATCAACATAAAGATAGTAACAGGTGTATATAGGCTACTTACATCTGATATTCTTCAGAATGTTGTTATGTACTGTTACATAATTGTAGACGAAACTGAAAGATCTCCCGGATGAGGTGAAATTCGACTATTATTTCAATTTGGAGTTTTTAACATGGGGCCGTTCAAGTGTTACGTAGACATCAGAGGGGAGCGGGAGGTCTTTGCTTTGATTATTTTTGATGACATAGGGGGCGGAGGGTCTAGATGGTGATTACTTCAGCTGTAGTTATTTACTTTTTTACACATGTGGCAACCCACACATTGTCTATGTTCACACATTGTTTATGTTTGAAAAATAAAAAATGTATATAACAATGTTTACGTAAGTATGGGACGGGGATTAAGAGCTTTGTTTACTTTTGCTGACTAGGAGGATGGGGTAAATAATTGTAATGAATATGCTAACGTAATACTGGAACGGCCTTCATGAGGGTTATTGTGGGAAGCTACAGCCACCCCCAAGGGGTTTATTTTTGACTAGAGATGTGTTGACATGTTTCACATTTTTTCCACACAAAATCAAATGACTCATTCAGGATGGCTCGTTTTATCTGCAATGCAATGTATGATTGTGTGATTAGATGTTATAATCAACTCCTTTAAATCCTGGCGACATGATACATATTTTCAGGGGACGAATCTGATTCGATGGGCAATCCGAGGACGGGAAAATCTCTCACTACTCCGCCTGCAAAGGAAAAGAAGAAACCATTTTTCAAGAAGCAAGAGACAACAGCTCCTTACGACGTAGTACCTTCCATGCGACCGGTTGTCCTCGTAGGTCCTTCACTGAAAGGATACGAAGTCACCGACATGATGCAAAAAGCCTTATTTGATTTTCTAAAACATAGATTTGAAGGAAGGTGAGTTGATTTTTCAAATCTGGAGCATGAGAGTTTTTCAGTCAGTATTTGATGTTCACTGTTTATACTACCCTTCCGGTTTCCGGAATTTATTTTCTCTGGAGTTGATTCATTCTAAAATAGGATCATTTTTACTTTCTTCATTTCAAAAATAAAATCAGCACGTGATTTGAAGATTACTGTCGATCAAAAATGCTCTGAGTAATTCCGATGTTTCATAAAACCGCCTCAAAGAAGCGGTTCAGCGAATCCGCGAGTGAACTCACCAATATACGATATGCGAAATCAGCTAGGAATTGCCATAATTTTCAGACGTTTTTGTGTGAGCCGTGTGAATGTTATTTTCAGGTTGTAAATACAATCGAGAACTGTAGAAAGAGGTTCAATTGTTTGCTGAATATTGTATCATAATATAGTCTTTGATATGATTAATAAATAATTTTTCATGCTGTTATGATAGTAATCTATTTTTGAATTACTGGAAAAATAACAAATCTCAATACAATATAATGAAACTCAATTTGTATAATACTCTACATACAATGTTGTTCTCACTGTATTGAGTTTATTTCCACTAATTATAATTTTATCTTATTTTCATAAGTGACATACACCACTAGTACAAACACCATAGACATTATTTATAAATAGTAGACGAGTTGTAATAAAGAAATGAACTTTTGACACTGTCACAGTTGACAACTGAGTTAGAGACTGTAAAAAATACAAATTTTCATATATGTATAAACATTCTTTTTTGTTAAAATGAAATAAAAAAATCAATGTTTTATACATAACATTCATAACCCATACAAAAGAATTTACTACAAATATTAAAAACCATCATTGACCGAAGAGACGTTGTTATAAAGTAAACACGAGTCAATTATCAAAAAAAAATGAACAGTTCAACATTGAAGTATATTTCTAAAATAATAGAAATATAGATTGATTTGCTCCGAAATTAACCAAAGTCGATTGGTGCTTTACATCTTTCATACTAGATTTTCTACAAACTATTCTGGATAGAATAATGAACGGTAAGAGAGAGCGTACTTTCAAATGGGCAATATGGTCCTGGCTTTATTTTCAAATAAACCAATGTTTGTACGGAGAAAAACCAGTCCATATATAAAACTTTGGGTAATCAGCAAATATTTTTAGATATTTTCCAAGTTTTGTTCTCAACTAGTCAGCAGTAGAATTTGTCCTGGAAACAAGTCAAAGGCGCCCCAATTGGTTCTCCTCTCTCTCCAGTCTCTACATGAAGGACTTTAAAACCAGAGCCATTGACATGTCTCATCTCAAACCCACGTGTTGGCTCCGATACGTGGATGACGTTTTCGTTATATGGCCCCATGGATCCGAAGATCTTCATGCATTCCTGGACCACATCAACTCCTCACACCCCGACCTAAGGTTCACAATGGAGGTTGAAAATAATAACTCACTTCCTTTCCTGGACGTTCTCATCACAAAGTCCAACAACTATCTCTCACACACGGTCTACCGAAAACCTACCTACTAACCGCTACCTCAATGCCAAGTCCCATCATCATCCTGCACAGCTGAATTCCGTTTTAAATTCCCTCATACATCGTTCTCTAAGACTCACTGACAACCACAATAGATCCAAGGAACTATACGAACTCATAGCCACCCTTCATCAAAACGACTATCCCGTCTCCCAAATACAAAGATCCATCCAACGACAGCAAACACAAACCCCACTCCACGAGTTACCCGAGGAATAGACCAACCAGTCAAAAGCTTTCCTCCCCTACATCCATGGAGTTACTGACAAAGCGAGCCGAATTCTGAAGGAACATAAAGTAAAGACAGTATTCACAGCCAACAACCAAATCTCCACTATATGTTAAGAACACCCAAGGACACGATACGCAATGAATCACAGGGCATATACGAAATACCATGTTCTAACTGTCACAGAACTCACATCGGCCAGACCAATTGAAACATTTCCAACAGAGCCTATGAACATGAACTAGCTGTTCGCAAAACAGATCCAGCATCATCACTCTTCAAACACCACCAGGAAACAGGCCACACAATGAGCTTCGAAAACACCAAGACCATTGCTACGGAGAAAAATCTTCAAGTCAGGATAATTCTGGAGATGATTCGCAGAGACTATGAAACTCAGGACTGATGAAAATGCTTAAAATGCACATACCACCTGAATGGGGTTGGTCAAAGTGATATACACTACCCGCCACTCGCGATGGAACAACCCATTTTTACGGTAAAACCTACTAGGGGGCAAAATAGGCTCAAAATTCCTTCAGAATCGTGATCAGGACTACCAACTTACAACAAATACATTTTCCCTAAAATAATATCAGTGCTGAAAAATCCGAGTTTGTCTCAGTGGAAACACTCCCCTATCTTCCATATTTATTCAAGTAGATTTTTCTTGTTTTGACATCAAAACAGGCACCCGTCCTAGAAAATCAGAATTTTTTCATAAAAAATCGATTGTTTAAGAGAGCCTTGACTTTTGTTTTCACATAAATAAATTATTTTTTATATTGGTGACAGGAAAGTTATTCCTTCTCGCAAAGTCAATAAGAGAGAATTCTCATCTTTCCATTATTTTCAAAAAACCATGTGTTTTTGTGGCGAAAAATTTTATGTAGTTCAAACTCTTTCGTATTAGTACTTTCAAAATCACGTTTTCAATCAAAAAACAAAACAATTAATTTCAATTAATTTAAAATCTGTTTTTCCGTTAATCAGCTGTTGCCCCCATACGAACGACAACTCTCAAAAGTTGAGAACTTGTGCGAGCTAAGGACTAATGAGGTCCTAACACGGTAATTGATGATACCTTCTATTATTTACTCCAACTCTTCTCAGTTCTCTAGGTGTGATTTCTCTATACGCTCGTATAATTCTTGCACGGAAATCTTCCCTATTCGTTGGCCTATCCCTATCAACTTTATTTTTCAACTGTCCTGAAAAATCATGTTATGTCTCACACATTTAATATGACAGATTTAAAATACAGGGACATACCGGTTGCGGCGGTACCGGGCCAATTGTATGTCGCTCTTTCAAGAGCTACCTCTGAAGAACATGTTTGTATTATCTACTGACAAAAAAACCGTGAACGTCGTATATAAAGAGATTATGTAGTATCAGCAAAATGCGGAGCCGGGACAGGTCTTTAGTGAAATATTAGCCTGTCCTCTAGTTTGATATACATAATTTTCATGTGAGAAATCTTGATAGAAATTGGCCAACAACGATTTTTTTCCATGTACTTCTCTGATTGAGTATACTGATGTAACAATATTTTCAAGATCATAAAATCATAACTTGTACATGAAATACAATTTTCATTTTATTGATAAATGCATTTTTTTCCAGAATTATTATAACTAGGGTAATGGCAGATATTTCGTTAGCTAAGCGTTCTTTATTGAACAATCCCAACAAAAGGGCGATCATGGAGAGATCGACTGGACGATCGTCATGTCTTTCCGAAGTCCAAGCCGAAATCGAACGGATCTTCGAGCTTGCAACAACTCTACAACTTGTGGTGCTGGATTGTGATACTATAAATCATCCTTCACAACTTGCCAAAACTTCATTAGCTCCTTGTATTGTATATCTTAAAATTAGTAGTCCTAAGGTAAGACATTTTTCATTTACAACAATTTCTGAGTAGGTTACGTTTTTGTCCAATATGAAAGAATTAACTTTCAAATTCAGTCTTGATTATTCAGAGGAATTTTTATAATGATGATAATAATAAAAGGTCTTCATTTACCACGGAAATTAAGTATTAACTAACTAAATTCATATTATAAATTTCGAATCATCAGCATCATTCTGCCTTATTGAATTTCGGCTTAAATTCCCTCATACACAGCTCTATCAAACTCTCTGACAACCACAATAGATCCAAGGAACTAAACAGCTCAATGGTTAGACGAACCACCAAAAAGCTTTTCTTCCTTATATTTATGGAGTAACCGACAAAGTAGGCCAAATTCTGAAGAGGCACGATATAAAAACAATATTCACAGCCAAATATCAAATTTCCACTTTTGTTACTAACACCTAAGGACGCAATACCCAATGAGGCACGGGGCATATATGAAATATCATGTTTCAACAGCTCCAGATCTCCAACAGCCTCATCCCTCCCTTTACATCATCATGAGTAGGCAGATTGAGACTCTTGCGAAGAGCAATGACGAGAATTGGGGAGTAGTCTCAAAGTCTTGCAGCTTGTTACTTTCTGAGGAGTAGGTCGATTGGGAGATAGGAGAGCGGTGCCTGTGCAAAAGTAGCGATTCACATTGGATTTGAATTGCTGGAGATTGAATCCATTTGATCCACATAAACGCAGTTTTCCAAATGAAAGAGTTCTTGAACAGTGAAGATCGAGATGTACCGAGTTGAAGAGATACAAATCCCCAACCTTTCTTCGATGTTCCAGACTATCAAGGTTGCAAGTGATGTTCCCGTCTCCAATCACGCAAATGCCTCTTTCTGGATGAAATCCAGCAGCTCACGGGAGGAGTGTAATGATAGCTTCTTGAAAATGGCTTTAGAATGTAATCTCAAACGTCGAACTAACAAAATCACAAGACAGGGTTCCACGCGGACTTTACAGATCCCACTTTATTGTTCGAATTCTATCTAGAAACGAATATCTTTTTAGATTCATGAAACTTAGTTGTTTTATCTGGGGAATTTGAGTCCTGAATTGCAATTCTTCATCCATAATCAACACGAGATTTCTGTTTTTTTAAAAGTCACCTCCTTTCCCTTGTTTCATAATTATACATATATTTAAAACCATAAAATTGTGTTCTATAGGACCAATCAAGCTTGTGTTAATCGATTATTATCAATTTAATTCTTGGAATGAGAATTTGTAAGAAATAATAATGATTATAATTTAATTATATATTTTTTGGCATGAATAAGACGATTCACATAAGAGAAAGTATTTGCAAATACAAAATTAGTTACATAGGTATCGAGCCATTTCACGAATTAAATACTTGATTTCGATAATTGAAAAACACTCAGATGAAAACAATGCAAAATTTCAATTAATAAATTATTCGACACAATCGAATAAGTTATATCTAACTGAAAACAAAAAACTGTATCAGCCTAGTGGAACTTTTGTTAGTTGAACTGAATAAATCATTATTTGCAATGTACTGATAGTGAGCGGTTTTGATTCAATTGAATTAATGAATTTCATTTGAATAATTTGCAACAGTCAATGTCTTATAAACACTTCATTCAATTGAAAGAATTAGTCAAACCAAGCAAATAATTTTCTAATGAATCAAAAACTAGTTAGGTAGGTAGGTCTAAAGTGAGTGGGTATATTCGACCCTCCACCGCAACCCCCAAGGTTTATTGTGACTATCACCTATTCACACTCGGCCAAATAAACCCAGCTTCTTAACGAAGCCGATCAGTTTGTATGGTGAGTGGTCTTTGAGGTCAGATGGTGAGAGTACGGATCTGCCGAACTTGAAGAACCTGATTCGGTCCCCAGCGGGGCAGGCACAAAGTATATGCTCTGCTGTTTCATCATTTTTCAGACAGAGGCGATACACACTGTCTTCCGACAGTCCAAGTCTCTGCATATGATGATTCAAATGACAGTGACCTGTAAGAAGGTCTGTTAGACATCGTAGTTCATTCCTACTGTAGTTCAACAACTGTTTGGAATCAAGCTTCGAAGGATGAATAAATGCCTTGGAGTGAGCCAATCCTGGAAGATTCTGCCAGAAGTCCATAAATCTTCTTGCCATCCAGAATGAATTTTATTTGAATAATTTGCAACATTCAATGTCTATAAACACTTCATTCAATTGAAAGAAATAGACAAACCAAGCAAATAATTTTCTAATAAATCAAAAACTCAAATTTTCTATTTCTAGAAAATATTTTCATTTGAAAAAATAGGCTCATCGATACTAGCTACTCCTATCTCTAAAAATTCTATACTTTTCTCAGTACAAGCAAAAGAGATTCGATATTTGCCTAATTGGAAAAAAAAACTGTTCCTCAAACCGCTCCGGAAAAGTAATGAATTATCTGAAGTAAGTTGAACTTCATTGAGTTCCTGATGACTCGTGGCTATTAGGTACGCAAATTTCAGGTAGCTTTCTTTTTAATTTGCCACACCTCCATGCAAAAAATAATGCGTTTTGCCTATACAGAAGGTTTATTAAACATGCGGCAAAAATTTAAGGGACTATTTCTTGGACTATTCTTAGGATATTTTGTCCTTTGATGATTTTTGATACGGCTCTTTGTCTCAAAGATAGTATAAATTAATGACTTTAGGTGACCCCATAGGAAATAATCCACGGGGTTCAAGTCTGGTGATCGAGCAAGCCATAGGTGAGGTCCACCTCGACTAATGCAGCATTCTCCATTTGTCACCGTTAAAAACTATCAAGCCAATATGGTAAAATGCGCTGGTGCACCATCGTGCATAAACCACATTGCAATGTAACCAATGGTACATTCGCCAGAAACTGGGGTAGCGTTTGTTTCAAAAAATTGCGGTATACCTCGCCGGTAAGTCTTCCTGGCAGAAATACCGGTCTAATTACCGGTACAATTCCCACCCAAACATTTAACGAGAAGTGATGTTGAGAGCTATCTTCAAACACATCATGTGGATTTTCGTCAGCCCAAACATGGTTATTGTGGAAATTCCTTGTGGCATTTGTTGAGAAACTGGCTTCATCGATAAAAAGAATAAGCATCCGTAGTTGAGGAATCTGAACCAATTGCGGCAAAAGCCATCGACAGTATGCAATACGTGAAAGAAAATATTCAGGAAGAAGTGCCTGAACTCATTGTATGTGGTATGGGTACAACAAATAGTCTCTTTCGGCTACGTTAATAATTTTAAAATTACCAAACTTGTTATTGCCTTAGAATAGTTCAAGGAATAGTCCCTTGATTTTTTGACGAATGTTTAATGAACACCCTGTATACGTTATAAACATAACTATTTATGGAATTGAGTAATTTGAGTTACGTGAAAAACAATCTTGTAGCTACGGCACTCCAATTGGTGAGACAGATTCAGGAAGACAGATAAAGGAAATAATCTCTGAAGACCTAATAGTTTTCATATCTGTCAATAATAATATCCTTCTAAAGAATGATACTGAAATGTTCATTATACTTTAACTAAGTACATTACTGTATGTGTAAGGTGTCTGTTGAAACTAGTAGGAATATTTTTGTTGATCACTCCCTAAGTGAATTACAGTCCAATATACTGGTTTTTTGAATCCCCCACAGGAGATTTCAATTTTTTGTTCCCTGATGAAAATGATCCAAAGAAAATTTTCACAGGTTTTGCAAAGGCTCATAAAGTCCAGAGGAAAGAGCCAAGCTAGGCATTTGAATGTACAAATGGTCGCTTCGGAAAAATTAGCTCAATGTCCTCCAGAGATGTTTGATGTTATATTGGACGAAAATCAGTTGGAAGATGCTTGCGAACATATAGCTGAATATTTAGAGGTAAGTTATCAATATATATTATAAATAAATTCTCCCCCACTCTCTGTCTGCGACGCGATAAACTTAAAAATTACCCAACAGATTTTCATATTGTTTCCACCAAAAAGGTTTATGTGTATGATTTATAGTACATTTCAGTGAATTGGTTGAGATATGATATTGTTATCCGAGAAAAACCGAGATGGTGGTGTTACCCTGCGTACTTATATCGAAAACGCTGCTTAATTCAACAGAACAATTCAATTTTAATGTCTACAAAAAAGTTAGCAAATCTATCTTTTAAGGATAGTATACTACACTCATTTCAATATTTGAAATAATGATCACATATAATGTGGTAATATTAACGCTAATACGATATTAATCGTCAACAAATAAGTATAACTTGTCAAATCTAACAACTTCAAAGTCTCGGATTAGGACCTTCTCTAAAATGCGCGTGGTAGAAAACCCTTAAAGATGATCGGAGCTCAGTCTCAACGACAATCTTGTAGTGTCCACTTTGGTGAAGTGTAGTACGCGATAAAATCTGTGCTCTAAAAAATAGCATTCAAATCGAATTTGAAACGAAAAGTTTTGGGTGGTCAAGCGAGAAAAGTGATTGTTAATGTCCTTTTTTCATGCAACGAGAAGCTGATAATGGCATAAGCATGGACCTGAAAATAGTTCAAGAGTGTTGTGCAAAAGCGGCGGGTGTAAGTTTGGGTAGCATTAAAAGAATAGCTCGTGAAATGAAAACAATTGAAAATGGAGAGTTATCCTCTTTTTTAACGACTATTAAAAAAAGACATAGAAAGTAATCAAAATCAGATTTTGATTATTTCGACAAGGGCCTTTCTCGTCGATATACAATAAAGTATTACATGACTGAGAAAAAAAATCCCACCCATAGATAAAAAATTCGTTGACGAAAATGGTTACAAAGGATCTCATGAGTCCCTGAGGAAAGTGATGAAAGAAATAGGATTGAGATGGAGGTAAACGAAAAAAATTGAAAATTGCTCATGGAAAAACCGGTGATTCAGCAAAAAATTTCTATAGATGTTCAAGGTAATAGTGACAACTATAGTATCAGTGAGTATAGTGATAACTCTACAGGCGATTTCGATCTGTCTGGAGTTGAACGTTTGTAATTTTTTGATCATAACTTTAATTTTATTTTTGTTTGGATTCATTCATCTTAATAAATATAATGTTTCTCAAGAAATTCATTTTGAAATGTAATCTTCAACCCAAATGAATTACATTGTCAGTATAATTCTTTCTGCCTTTCCTGAATACACCCAAAATTAAACGCAATACAGACTGCTGAAAAATAAACTCATTTAAATTCAATTACGTAAATACCGCATTATCATACTAAACTAATAATTGACTATCAATTAAAAAACCATCAACCCTGCTACTTGCGGCAAAAAATGTACTCTCACGCCACTCTGAAACCCAAATAGGCGCACCAAGTCGCACGGTAGATTTCATTCTTTTCTATCCTAATGTGAACGCAGGTGGTGATATGTTATAATCGCTTCCTAGATTTGACAATCTGTACATTGGCTACCTTGAGTATTTCTTGCATCATACATTGAAATCTTCAGGTAGATAGTTAGTATCTATTTCAAAATCAGAATTGATTTTTGAGAACATGTTTTTGTTTTAACGAGGCCGTTATTATTAGTTGGGATACCCGGCTTTGCTCAAGGCGTTGATATGTGTTTGTGTGGTAGTTGGAATAAAACTATAAACTTCAAATCCGCTGAGATCCGCTGAGTGTTCGGTGGATCTTGCTTCATACTCGTATACCTCTACCAATGAATAGCTCCACCTATGAAAATGGTTTCAAAGGTTTCGAATGATCTACAATATTCCACAACATTCCAAACTGTTCTGCAATATTTGATAATTGCCTTAGATGTTCCATGATGGTGTCGAACGTTTCTGACTATTCCCGAACAATCCAAAACATTTCAGAATGTTCCGGTATATTGTTGAATGCACTCGAATACTAACAAGTGTAATGTTTTGAATTGTTCTGGAATCTTCTGAAGGGTGAAACTTCCCAGTCCTTATATATTCAAAAGCACGCCCTTCAAGTGAACATTGAAATTAAATTTTTCTTGGATGGGGTTAGAGGACTACCACACCTTTGATCGTTCCACAATGATCTGGGTTGAGGCAAACCAGATTCGTGGAATGAAAGGTAGAAATTATTGAGTTGAATTGACCTAAAACAATTTTTCACAAGTTAGGTTAATATAATTTCGCTACATCAAAACTTACCTGGCAATCTGATTGCATTGAGCCGCGCAAAATCTCTCAGGATCCACCACGTGATTTTAACATGAACTCAGTTCAAAAAAATCCTTACTTCAAATGAGATGCAATACTTTGACAAATGTTAAATGAAAATGAATGTCAAAGGGCCAGTTTATTGACTGAATCCTAATACTCATGAAAGGACTCTTCTACGCCTTGCGGTTAAAAATGGAAACCTTCTTCACGGGCAAGCTGGTGTGACACCTTGTCAGAAAAAAAATGTAGTTATATAAGTTATGTACGGGTCGCTAGTTTTTATGTTAATTCAATGTGATTAAAACTAACTTGAAAGGCAAACATGAAAAATTCATTGCTATCTACTTTTCAGGCTTATTGGAGAGCAACACACCCTGAAATAAGTGTTCCAAATGTACCCCGACCAATAGGAACTTCTCCTCAAGCTTCACCAAGTGGGGACCAAGGTCGACCCACTTTGCCAGGTTAGTTATAAAACCATCGTTACTATCATCTTTAACATATTCAACTGAATTTCACACGAAAACTTTTGAAATTGATTGTTCGAGGTTTCGGTTTTCGATTTATAGTTCACATATGCAGCCAAGTTTCGGGACACCTACAGTTCAATAAAGAAAATAACAAAAACATTCCATCAGACCCCATAAGTTCTAGGCGAGTTTTGCGTTACATTTTGATATGGTCTATCAGAGATGGCATTAACACTTTCTCTTTCCTTTCAAAGTATATATTTTTGTTTAAAACCTGACAGGACTAGGCTTGAATCTGCATCTGAAAAGCTCAATTTTGGAAAATATATAGATAGAAAGAAGGCATAAACTAATAGAAGGTGCTTTATGTTGATTTTATAGCTCATCGATATTGGCTTCCTAATTTCATAAGATTTGATAACAACAAACAAAAATTCAATATTTTATTTGTAGTGAAATACCCCATATAACAGATTCATTGTCAAAAATGCCACTTGATAGGAGTTGAGAATAATTTTTGTTGGGAATTTTCAAGAAGTCCTATAGATATATTTTGAGTTGATACGCTTGATGTACCCAAGAAGAAATTTCAAAGAAGTGCGAAAGGACGATGTACCTCACATATTTTAGGTGATTTATCATTTTGGTGAATATAATTGGGAAATGTTATTTTCTTTTTTGAACGCATTAGGATTGTGTTGATACGTGTCCAAAAACAATTACCATCCTTGCTGGAAATGCGAACTCAAACAGGAGTTGTGTTTTGGAGTATTTGCTTCTCATTTATGCCGGGCTGATCGAACCAAGACAACATCTGAGTCAGGATACTAATTGAGAATTGTAACTCAGTACTATGCCAATCTGATTATATTATTATTATATTCAGATAAACCAAAACGAACGTGAAGATAAGTCGAGAGCAAACCTTATTCTCGCTTCTTACATTGTTGATTTTTGGGCTGCTTTCCTTGGGTCGTATTTGGGGAAAGGAAAAAAAACAAAACAGTACACGACAAATCTGATAGCTCGACAACGATTTGTTCAAATCGGTTTAATAATCCATTTAATGCCAAGGTTTTTGAATCGCTCAGATATGGGAGCTCAATTAATCCAACTCATAAACTAAATCTGATAGTTTTGAATGAGACTAAACATTTTTTTAAAAGAAATACAATACAACAGAACAACTTCCTTTAGAAGAAACCATGGGGTTTTGTTTTGACGTTTTTGTTAATTTTTTAATTAATTTTTTTCCTTGTTTTAGATGTTCCATATTATTTACAATTCTCTAAATTTCAATAGTGAAGTTCACAAAATGAAGTTTTTAAAACACTGATCTCATCAAAAACACATTTTCATATCTGTATAACTATCTAATGGAATTTTATTATATTGAATCATTTTTTTGTGTTGCCTCATCATTATTCAGAATAAAACATAAAAGAAAGATAATAAATATTGAAACATAAATATGAAAAAAATATTTCAGGTGAAGTTTATGTTTTTTTTCTTGTATTTTTTGTAATTTTTTAATTCATTTCCTACCTTTTTTCAGAAGTTCCTTATTATTTATTATTTTCTGATCTCTCCAAAATCTTATTTATACAGGGTGTAACTGAATAAGTGTAAAACATTCAAGGAGGTGATTCCTCATCGAAAAAAAGATAGGATCTTCCATGTAAAGAAACTTCATTGGAGCATCCTTTGTTAAGATACAGCCCCTTAAAGGGGGTACGTAAAATTTGTATAACAATTTTATTCACAAGCACTGAGAAAGTTACAATATTGAAATTAACCTGACGTTATGTACTACCAAAAAGACACTTAGCCAGTAATTTATTTGGTTTACCCCATGGTTGTAAGGGGTGGAAAACGCAACCCCTAAAATGTATTTCCAATGTAACTTTTTGTCTTATTATTTGTTTACCATTCAAAAATTTATTTCCGATAGCTTGTTTCAATTTAAACAGAAAATGTCTCTTGGGTTTTTTGCCCAAAATAAACCAGTTCGCAGCAAAACATTATTTTAAGAACAACTACAGAGATACATCGTCATAAATGCGAAATTGATTTATTGTTATTTTGTAATTAGTACATGCATTAAACGATTAAAGTGTAATAAACCAAACTAATTTATTATTAACAAAACACACAACATGTAAAAATCATAGTAAATGTTCAATATGTCTACCTTCAGACATTCGCATGCGTCTAGACGTTGGCGCATTGAGCCACGTATTCGCTCAAATATTCCTGGAGTCTCTCTGATTACTCTGCACGCATCGATGATGCGGTTTCTTAAGGCCTCTATATCGCGAACAGGAGAATGATAAACCAAATTCTGTAAATGGACCCTAATAGGGAAATCTAGAGGATTGAGATCCGGGGATCGAGCGGGCCAATTCTGTGGTCCTCCTCGACCTATCCACTGATTTGCATATGTTTCAGTTAAATGCTGACGTGCTACTTGACTGAAATGGGCGGGAGCCGCATCATGCATAAAAAACATATCCCTTCTGACGCCCAAAGGAACTTCCTCCAGCAGTACTGGATGCACTTCTCTTAAAAATTGAACGTATGCCTCACCATTTAATCTAAGAGGTAGAAAATAAGACCCAATTAAATCATCCCCAATAACTTCGAGCCACATGTTAAGGGAAAACTGTTCTTGATGGTTAGTTTCGACAGTAGCGTGAGGGTTTTTATCAGCCCATATGTGGTAATTATGAAAATTAATAATCTTGTCCCGAGAAAAACTACATTCGTCTGTGAATTCTATCGTCTTCAGAAAGTCACAATTTCTTCTAATCATTTCCAGCATCCAATTGCAAAATTCAAGACGGTTCGGAAAGTCTCGCGGTAACAGTGGCTGTACTCGTTGCAGATGGTAAGGGTTTAAGAGTTGTTCCTTTAAATTTAGAAATACCGTCATATGATCAACATTTAGCTGGAAAGCAATCTTCCTATTACTGGTAGTAGGTTGTTCTTCAATCAAATCAAGTACTGCTTCCTCAAGCTGTGGTGTTCGTACTTCTCGATGGCGTTGTTTTGTCGAGAACCATATTCTCGTAATCGTTGATGAAGTCGAGCAAATATTCTATGTGAAGGATGCTGCCGTTGAGAATACATTTCAGCATATCTTCTAGAAGCTTCTAACCCATTCCCCTGCGACAGACCGTAAACGTAATGTATATCAGCCATTTCCTCATTTGTGTATGCCATTTTAATAGCAAGTGAATCAATAAAGTAACAAATTAAGAACAGAACAACAACACACAATTAGTAATAATTCAAAATTCACAAACTGACAGAGTCATACCAATTTGATTGTCACTATCGCTAATAGCGACCTATCAGATAGATTATAGTTTCGTATTTTCGCATTTATGACGATGTATCTCTTTAGTTGTTCCTTAAATAAATTTTTGCTGCGAACTGGTTTATTTTGGGCAAAAAACTCAAGAAACATTTTTTGTTTAGAATGAAACAGGCTATCGGAAATAATTTTATAAATTGTAAACAAATAATAAGACAAAAAGTTACATTGGAAATACATTTTAGGGGTTGCGTTTTCCACCCCTTACAACGATGGGGTAAACCAAATGAATTTCTGGCTAAGTGTCTTTTTGGTAGTACAAAACGTCAGTTTGATTTCAATATTGTAACTTTTTTAGTGCTTGTGAAAAAAATTGTTATACAAATTTTATGTACCCCTTTTAAGGGGCTGTATCTTAACAAGGGATGCGCCAATGAAATTTCTTTATATGAAAGATCCTATCTTTTTTTTCGATGAGGAATCACCTCCTTAAATGTATTACTCTTATTTAGTTACACCCTGTATATAGTGATATCGTATTGAATTTTGTTCTAATAGTGAGTTTTTCATTTCTTCATCAGTATTCTGAATGCAACATAAGACAATAATAATACATTATTGTGATATTTTCACTTCAGTAAATGGTTCACAAAACTTCAACAGTTGTTTCACTATATAATAGTTTATTTTCAGGAATATTTTTCCGTGAACACGTGTTGTGGTTTCTCTACACTGTTTAGTAAAAATCTAACGATAAATTGTTTCCTAAACAGAATAAACATTTCAAAATCCCCTTCTTGATTGAAAAATATTGTCACAATGTTTGTACCTTTCAGAATAAAACAAAGTATTTGAATTTTGGAAAAAATTTCGAACAATCAAAAAGTATTCACTAAACTAACATACTAACATTTTTTTCAGCACACCACGATGTATACGGATATTCTCATGAATCTCGAGGTAGTCATGCAGGTGTTAGATACATAGGATTGCAAAGTTGGGATTCAGTAGACTCTTTAGAATCACTGTCGTTTTTATAGATCACTGCATGATTGTCTTGATTATGAATTATTATGCATCTCGAATGTATTGATTTAAGTTGCTTAGTAAGTTTATCCGCATTCAGCTATGATGGTGTTACTGTATACGTAGTTCACGAAAAATAATTTACTGTCATGCAACGGCCAATTTTAGTGTGAGAGAAAATGAGAAAGTAAATTATTGAATCACGAAGTGTATCAAGTAGGATGAAATTGCATGCGATGTACGAGTAGGCCTTGATATAGGAAAATTCAAATTATCATAAGAAATTTCGAAATTCTTGTCGAAATTCTGTGTTTGAACAAAAAATTTAAATTCCATTCAATGAAACCAGATATGACCTTGAAAATATTACACATTTCGTAAGGGTAGAATGATTACCAACTGAAATAAAAATTAACGGGTGTTTCAGTATGAGGTATTAATTTCAATTTACGGTGATTTTCTTTATTTTTTGTTTTTGATATAGAACATTTCATGCTGGGTAACTATCTGGGAACTGTTTCCGTGATAATGTAAAAATTATAAACTGAAAAATTATGAAAGTTCGGCAGTATAACCATAATTCAGCTGAAATTATTTTTGAAGTCCGGAATACTTATGTTGTACCAGAAGTGGGTGAGAACTTCGTTGTTTTGAATGGAATATTAGTTTTGCATTTTATGTAGAATTCTTGATCCATTTCACGGCCTCTTTATATTATTTGTCTTACATAGTTTCAGAAATATTCGACATTTGTCATAAAAAGTGACCTTTTCAATTTGTTAAACATTCCTAGTGATTGATTCACGAATATCAAAGATTAACGAGGGCCTGAAAGCAATAAGTTACAAGGTCAAACTTCGACATTGACCGCTGTCACAGTAGCCCTTACTCAGACTTCAGCTATGCACTGAGGAGACCTTGGCAGATCGAAACAACGTTATCTGATATTTGTTTTTGGCTATAGTTTTAACTAAATATTCTTTGTACTTTCTAATGTTTTTCAGTTCCTCGTATGAAACGTTTAGGAAAATGTATGAGTTGAAGAGTATGAAGTAGTCTAAAATCTATAAGTTTTCATATAAGACAGCGTTCTGTTAGATCCATTCCTCTTCGGAGACCTGAGGCGAGGTGGAGCTGGCAAGGTATCACATTAAATATTGTTGAAAAGGTTTTTCGAACCGATAAGAGAAATATAATCCATTATGTTGCTTCCTGGCGTTGAAGGTATCGAACCTACCTGGTGTTAGACACCTTATGTTGTCTGAAACTTTTCAGTATAGCCAGTTGTAGAGTCATAAAATCAGGAATCAGCTCAGTTACACTGCCGCTGTTGACGATGATGAGATTTCTGAACAAAACTAGATTTGTATTCCCTACAACTAATGACTGCTGTAACTTCTAGGGGCGTGAGCCTCAGCAGCCTAAATGCAGATTCGCTATTGCTGACCTGAGTTAGTGCAACGAATTATAGAATCAACTGTCTTAAACAAATTTATTTCCAACAATATTTCACTAATCACAAACTAATTTATATTCAACACTTAGCAACTTACGCTCAATTTATTTCCGCTATTTGAATTTCTTGTTTAGCCGCTCGATTCACTTTCTGAACTGCCCTCTTGGGTCAGTAAGCCGGGCTTATATAATGTAAGGATTCTTTCTAGAAATCTGTAGTCAGTTTGGTACTCAACTAGAGTTTTACCGGTGGTTGCCGACTGCATTCTTTCGCGGTGATGTCATGTGTTTGTTACATGATTCGGCCGGCCGGGGGCGGCTTCAGATTCGTTACATTAGGAAGAATCTCTGTGCGCAGTGGGGATGACACATCGATAACTATGTCTATTAATAGTCCAACTAGCTTTTCTGCTTCCCTTAGTGCTATCTAATATAGCAATCCTCACAATTGGATGGGAATGGAAATATTACACGGACAAGTAACATCAGAGATACTTGCAGTTTTTCAACTTTGTAACTGATGTTAGATTATAATTGAACTATCATTTCAGAATACTCGAATGAGCTACGTCAATTCACGTGAATACCTTCAAAATGAAAAATGTTCACATAAGTTGCATTTAGTCCAATAAAGAGCATTTTCAAATTATTTTTAGTGTTAACATAACAACATGTTCCCGGCCCTCTTCTCTGTACAGTAGAAACTGTGAGTAAGCAGGATATTCTCAAGCCAATCGCTTGGCCTTCTTCTCAAAATTGAACGGGATAAGTAAATTCATATTAACAAAATCAAACTCATTAAAAATGAGGATTGAAATTTCCTATGTTTTATACCATTTGTATTTGTAACTAACGTTACTGCAGTTTTATCCTAGAAGGAAATTTTCAAACGAATACAATAAACTTTATTGTATTCAACATTTTCAAACGAATGCAATAAACTTTATTGTATTCAAGTACATTTCCTAACGAATACAATAAAATTTAGTGTATCCATCAATTTATTGAATCCAAACTCTTTTGGCTAATCATAAATGGTATTCAAAACATTCATACTTCTTATTAAATGTCGATGACGTTTATTTTTCTATAGTTTTAAAATGAGTACATACTGAGAGCGAGTTGGTCTACTTGTCCTTGTGATTACATAACTCTGTGAAGTAGGTATATTTTTATATTTTGCCTTTGACTTATCTGTGACAAAAATAAAAATATTAATAATCATTAGATTTTAATCTTAAAAACATTCCTAGTTTTGTAAATAACTCAAATAGTTTCATTATTGAAAATAGTTTGAAGCACAATCAAAAATCGACAATTATTATGAGAGTGTATGATATTATGTATTTCTGAATAATTATTGATCTATCTTGTTGGTACAATTCGTGATTCGATTTCTCTTCACAATTCCTGTCTCAGTACATTCCACGAATGAAATGAAATACACTCCACAACAATTGAGCTGGATGATTTTAAAATTAACTTATGAAATAATTTATGAACAGTCGCATTTAGTGCCAATATTTTTTGAATGTTATTTTTTTGTCAGTATTCTTATCTATCAAAAAATATATAGAAACATGGTCCCAATATCTGTACATGATAATATCTACCTCAATAGTTGGGTGGTGTAGTTGAATAAATTAGTTTTTACATGTTTTGTGAACTACGGCATACATATATTAGACACATAACAATATTGCCAAAACATGTACAACTTGGGTCCAAAATAACACAATGTGATGAAAAATAAACTCATTCAGACACACTTCAGGTTTTTCTTTCATTTTTTCTTATCAGTTCATAATTTTTCAGATTTTTCCGGTTCTATGACTCCAATACCACCTAATAATTGATTTGTTGAAAACACAGGTTCAGTTGATTTTCGTTTGTTTTTAATATATTTTTTCTCTTTCATTTTGGATACCGCTTGGCAACACTTTGAAATGCAACGCTAAAACACAACGCTAAATCGCAACGCTTCATGCTAATTGCACAAAATATTAATGCGCAGAAGCACCTGGTAAAGTTTGGCGTGCTGGCCCCACCGATTTGTTTGCTTAGCAGGACGAGTTTGTAAGTTTGGAGTTGGATTGGAATCGTTTTTATTTCATGAGAATGCTGTTATTTTCACGAAGCATTATTATAATTCAAATTCATTGATCTAATGTTTGAATTATACCCATTTTAGTTTATAGATTTAGTTATCATTCATGAACGACTATAGAAAAATTAAACGTAATATCAATTTTGAAGGATAATCGATGAGAGGAGGGTCAGAGCGAAACTATTTTTTATTTTATTATTATCACATGACTTTTCATTATTATTCTAAACGTTCTATCTATCTTCCGATAGTCCTGTATTTGATGATTCAGATCACAGTAACCATTATGTAGTTCTAAATTTTCGGTACGTTGTCTATATGTTGGTTCAACTTCAGACTTTCAATCATATCTTCTTTTGGTAAATTTCAGTTACATTACCCATTTTGTAGAGAATAAAATTTTCTACAATTGATGTTTCTGAATTTTGTTTCTAGAACTAATAGTTTCGGATTCGTTCACTTTTATTGAAATGGGAAAATCGTACTTTCCGTTCTTTACTTCAGATAGTTTACTTCAGGGTATTAAGTATCAGGATAATACTTGTAGGGAATTCAATAACATCCAAAACGTATGTCATTTTTTAAGATAACCCTACGGGAGAAGGGAGCTGAACAAATTAAAACAACGGAATATTTTTTTGTTATTGTGAAGGCACATTGTATCTTAGTTGTCAAGAAGAGCAAAGTTTGTAAAACTACTATTCCAATATCACTCGGAAATTTATCAGTTGGTGGCTATTTAATGGTATTGTTCATCTGAGACCGAATGTCTAATTGAATTCTGTGATATTATAAAACAACGATAAAAATAAAAACAACAATAAAAAAATAATTGGCGCTTCGGGGCGACTTCATTGATTTTAGTGGCGCATTTGCTTTCTCAGCTGTAGGAAGACCCGGAAAAACCTGCAGCATCACATCATCTGAAGATCTTGATCTGCCAATGTCCTCTCTCTCATAAAACAAAATGTAGGGTGTCTCCAGAGGCTCCAATAGGTTCAATACATCGCCAGAACACTTCGTAACATGACTATCGTCAAACTTAAACCAGTCCGTTTCGTCTTTGACCAAGGCGTAATAATGACCAAATTCAACGCCAGAACCACAGTGAACAATGTCTGCATGAATATTATAATAGTGGTCTGCTAGATTGAAATGTTCATCTATTTTGAACCTTCTTGCTTCCATCAGAGGTCGAGTCTTGTTTGAAGATCATCAGTGTTATTATTAGATTGACTGGTGCCTCAGGTATATTTGTTTCCTTATAACAGTCCGTTGGTTTGGCGCATTTTTGGCAAAACAGTTGATCATCACCTGTTAAAAATTCCATTTTCAGATGATGTAATAATAAACTTTGCATGGACTGGTTATTAGTCATATTAGGAAACGCTAGATGAAGTTCCAGAAATTCACATAAGTTTTCACTACCTCTTGAACATTAACTACAAAGTAAACAAGTGAGGATTTTTCCAGCAAAAGATTTACAAACAAAACAATCTGATATTGATTCTTCATTCGACCTTCATTCATCGAGTGACGAATGAATGAAGTAATGCAACAAGTCTGTGAAATTACTTTCTCTGGCAAAAATTGCATATCAGTAGCAGTGAGGTCCAAGTGAAATGGAAATCAGTTCTGAATATCCAATACCCATTCATTACCACGTTTATGGGCAGCCTTCAGAAACGTGTCCCTCAACGAGTGGATCTGGACCATATGGACAGTGTTTTTGGGAAAGAAAGTTTTTGGCCTTCTACTTCTCCATCTTTCAAAGAAAAAAAAGAAACAATCAATTGTTTCAAAAATCAACTCTATGCAAAAATTCATGCAAAGAAGTAACTTTCAGGCACAAACTGGAAGAAAAATCCCTCTCGAAACTGCTACTTTCATATAAACATTGAATTATACGAAAGAAAAATACTTTCGAAACAAATACTTCAATATGAGCGTTGAATTATACGAAAACACCATTCTCTATTCCGTTTGTATTCCAAACTTTCGTGTGGGATCGAATCAGATATCAGTCACAGAATTCTCACACAATGTAATTGATGAAAGAAGTGAATTTTCACTCAGGTGGAACACTGTTATCCTCACTGTTAGACATCTGACGTTTCGCTCTAAGGCTAATTGCACACACACCGATTTTGGACGGCCGATTTTATACCGGTCGTTCAAATTCCAATAGTGAACCACATGTAGGAACGGGACTTTACACACATACCTACCGGTGATCGACGCCGACCGCCGGTCGGCGTGTGTGCCAGGTCCCGTACCCACATGTAGTTCACTATTGGAGTTTGGACTACCGGTATGAAATCGGCCGTCCAAAATCGGTGTGTGTGCATTTAGCGTAACGCTAGTTGCACACACACCGATTTTGGACGGCCGACTTTGTACCGTTCGTCCAAATTCCAATAGTGAACCACATGTGGGAACGGGATCTGGCACATACGCCGACCGCTGATCGTCGCCGGTAAAATACCGGTGAGCAGCCGTCCACTGCCACTGTATCGCCGGCAGTACCAGGAAGTGGTGGCATACATGACTAAATACACTCTTGCATACTCACCGGTTTTTTACCGACCATTCCAGTCTCGAATGCTCGGTGAAATTGTAGTTACCACGCATTAATTCGTTTTGGTATTGCGTGCTAATTACGACAATAAAGCAACTAATTATTTGACCGACAAAAATTCGGTGAGTGTGTAAGCACCCGCTACCGATAAAATATCGGCCGATTGTATACTGGCCGTTCAACTAGCGTAACGCTAGTTGCACACACACAGTATAAAATCGTCCGATATTTTATTGGTAGCGGGTGCTTGCACACTCACCGGATTTTTATCGGTCAAACAATCAGTTGCTGTGTTGTAATTAGCACGCACTACCAAAACGAAGTTAATGCGTAGTAACTACAATTTCACCGAGCATTCGAGACTGGAATGATCGGTAAAAAACAGGTGAGTATGCAAGAGTGTATTTAGTCA